CCCGGACCTTCACGGGTCTCTCTTGGTTGAGAACCGTACTCTAGGAGAATTACAAACTTAATGAAAATGTGCTATAAGTTTGGGAAAACAGATCTATCTGAAACAAATGGAGTTTAACCTATACGTACTTACGACTATTCAAGTGAGCTGTTGCATGCTTAGAACAAGTTTGACATCAGCCTCAAGTGCAATGTATTTATGCGACAGCAGTGTATGTCCTTTCTACATCACAAACAACTGCCAGTTGCTTCTGTTCATACCATGTAAGTTGCTTCGTTTACAGTATATATTCCGAGATCATTGATTAGCGGTTCTGTTGCAACCAATATATCTTCTCTCTGATAGTCAGTGTCTTCCACACAAGGACACAAAGCCAAGGACACAAAGGCGTACTCTCTCAGCAGCAGTATCGATACCGTCCCATAAGCAGATTTGCAATGAACCAGATGAGCAATGTGGGATTCAGTGATTCTGAACACAAACCTGGACCTCAGGCTAATGAGGTTTCCTATCAGGTGTCGTATTGTACTGTGTACACTGCGAATCTCGGTAATCAGGTCTTCGTTATCCTATGACATTATCACTTAGCACGACGCAGATTTACTTCCCTGATTTACTGCTGTCTTGGGGCGGTATAAAATTCTCATAAAATAACCTCAGATGTGATTCTTTCTACCGTCTTCCTGTTCACGAGTTTTAGAATACATATACTTGATGATTGTCAATATATTGTGTTTATTCAACATATACAACTTCAACTAGCCTCGATTATCTACTGAAACAGACTCCATTGTCAAAAAAAGGTCAAACTTTTAGGAATGGATCACGGAAAATCACAAAATGTTGGCAAAGAGGCGTTCCAAGGTCCTGTTCTCGCGATAATAAAGGGCGGTGGGGTAGCCTAGTGGTTAAAGCGTTGGCTCGTTACGACGAAGACCCGGGTTCGATTCCCCACATGGGTACAATGAGTGAAGCCCATTTCTGGTGTCCCCCGTCGTGATATTGCTGGAATATTGCTAAAAGCGGCATAAAACTAAACACACTCAGTCAGTCAGTCGCGATAATAAAGCATAATTCAGTCATATAATGTATATTTCGGATATTATTTCCGAAATACCCAGAAGACAGTCATAGATATATTCTAGATCCCGATCTGTTACTAAAATCACAAGTGTGACAGTTTCCTTGATTGCTTGTTTGCGCGTAATACTTACAAAACACTTAAGCGCTACTTTGAAGTTCCTCTCGCTTCCCTTGAGAACTATTGATGTGAATAAATAATGGTACTTTTCAACAGACACGTTTTCGTTTGATGGCAGTTTAACGTATAATATTTAAACATTCTAAACAACTTCTTTGGGTGGCATTTTAGAAGTTGGGAAGTATAATATAGAGACACTTTATGGATGACAACTTCTTTTTTTCGTGACGGAGTGCGGCGTTTCAATACATATTCTTGTACCGTTGTCAAGAAATCCGCTAATCACTGTTTAACGGAGATTGTACGTGGCTAAAGAATATGTTATATTTAGATTGTGTATGCAATACTATGCATTGACATTCACGAAAGCATATTTCCTCTAAAAACGAAACAAACGAAAGGCCAAAGGTACGGAAACAGCACTGAACTGTGTGATGAATAGTCTGCACATGTCTGTCGAGAGAGGGGATATTGCTATGCTGGTATTGTTAGACTTGTCATCCGCTTTTGATACCATAGATAACAGCATAATGCTGCATCGTCTCGGGAACACCTTCGGCTTCACAGGGACAGCGCTTCAGTGATTTGGGTCGTAGCTCACAACCAGGCCACAGGCTGTCCTGAATGGTGACGAGATGTCCACTCCAGCTACCTTGCTCCGAAGACTGTCGCAAGGATCAGTGTTGGGGCCAATACTTTTTACCCTTTATACAACACCTCAAGGTCGGTGTATTGAAGAACACCAAACACCTCACAACTTCTATACAGATGACTCGCAAGTACAGAACAACTTTAAACCCTCGCCCGTCAATCAATCTGAAGCAAAACATGCAATGGAACAGTGCGTTGCTCATGTCAGTACATGGATGGAAAAGAACAAACTGAAACTCAATTCAGACAAAGCGGAGGTGATTCTATTTTTTTCCTCCATCCAGATTAAGGAAATGTACTTTGGATAATTTGTCTATTGGGTCTGAAGACATCACCTTAAAGCCATGTCAAGAACATGGGTGTGTACCTTGACTCCTCGCCATCCATGGAAAGATCATGTAAGCCCGGAGCATCAGTGCCATCCGACATTTGCTGACGATAGATGCAGCGGCTTCCCTTGTGAGATCTCTGATATTCTCTTGAACAGATTATTGCAACAGCCTGCTCCATGGAATCGCTGATCAACAGATGAGACGTCTGCAGCACATCCTGAACTATGCTGCCACATTGGTCACTCAGACGAGCTTAAAGGCACACATCACACCAGTGCTCACCTCGCTTCACTGGCTCCGCATTCCTCGGCCAATCGTGTACAAAATACTCTCGCTCACTTATACCAAGCTGTCCATGGTACCGGACCGGTGTCCTCCCCCCTTCACTTAATTTTACTCGTTAGGTACGGAAAATTCATTAAGTGATGTGGGTATGTCATGCCTGGATAATTCCTCAGGATTAGGTGAAGTGGGTATGGGAGAGACCATATGTTGTGATCAGAGGGGGTTTAGTAACCATGTCGGAGTAAAAGAATGACAAAACTAAGTGATAGAATTAATGAATATATTTTATTTATCTTATATATCTTTAAATATTCTATGAATTAACATTTACATGTATGATAAAGACCAGTTGTTAATTAACAGTAAAATATGTGTATAATCAGCTATTCACATTCACTCCCAATCAAACACAATCAGAATCACCAAGAAGATGGGCAACACTAGATAGCCACTAATCAGTCTATCTTTCGCCCGTCTCAACCTGTTGTCAATAGCAACATATTTCTTCTTTCTTCTGGGTTCACGCTGATGTCCACGTTGCTGGGCTAGCCTCACTTTCGTCTTTGACTGCTCCCTCTTGATCAAATTTCACAAAGTCTGAAGTCGGTGTCCTCCTTGTATCGTGATTCTGTATCTTCCTCCATAGTGCCTGGGCGTAGTGGAAGTAGTAGCCACGGATTTCCATTCCATCAAAGACAGCAAGGGCAGCGTTGGCGACGGCTCTCTCAAAGTCTATCTGCAGAATCTGCGGATGGAGATTCAGGTGAAGTCGCTCTGTCTCAGTCTTCAACAACTGGAATGCTGTGGTGTATGTTGCCTGGGACTTGTTGGGCAGTAGCATGTATACAAGAGGATACATGAACCCTTGTACTTCGGCGTGGATGGTGTACGTCTGTAGGAACAGTGTGGGTGAGGAGTAGAAGGTTCCATCTGCATGCAAAATGTCCGCTTCACAGAGTCCGCTTCCTTCAGTGTCCGCTTCAGTGTCCGCTTCACAGAGTCCGCATCCTTCAAGAAATATTGAATGTTTTATGAGTTGTGTTCCGCAAAATGAAACAATCATATTTGGACGAACGCGCTATTCCTATAATCAAACGTATTGCCTTGGAAACGCAACAACACAGGAATTTCCGAGAAACAAAAATCACACAAGCAATTGTTTCGGCTTACCTGATGTGTATATAGGATAAACACATGATTCAGAATTTGGTCTATCTTCATTTGAACGTAAGCCCAATTTGATACTATATGAAAATGCAAGCAAAATTTTGGAAACTTCTGAACAGCCACAGACACAAGTTCACTGAATGCCAGGTTTGTATTCTCCGTGATGAAATGTCGAGTCTTGACCAGAAAACCTAGTGATTAATATCTTAAGCATGGCGTACAATATGTTATTCAACAATTATCTCGCCGCCAAGGACAATTAAGGTATAACCGTGAATCAAAAATGTTATCTGTTTCAGTTGAACAAGAACGATATTCCATCCTTTCACCTCACCAATTCTTAAACTGATTCCTAAATTAACATTTTGCCCATGCAAATCACTCCCTCTAGACATCATAATGTTGCAATGTAATTATCGAGGGATCATTTGCATATTGACCTATTTCAAAACATTAAATGCATTGTTTTATCATACAATACAACAAGTTTCTAACAATTTGAAGTTAATATCCAAATATCACTAATTGTGACTGTATTTTGTCGTATATATGAAGTTAAACATAAACCAAGTACGTGCAAACCGTTTCCATGTTCTTTTTGCCATAAACGCAGACAATTCAAAGACTGACGTTTACGTACGTCTGTGACTGACATGTATTGATCAATGTATGGCGTACCTCTAGATATTTTATGTCAGCTTCAGTGTTTGTACAACTGCGTCCTGTTTGATGTATGTTTGCATCATCACGAAAAAGGTAGTAACATTATCTGTGAATTTTCATTATTATTCTGTTTAAATTATGTGGACATGTATTGTGTAAATATACATTTGTTCTGCATAACCGTGATCAACGCTTTTAAGTTTGTAAATACTATTAGTAAAACTAGTAACTAGTGGGTAATGGTGTGGGTTTACAGAAATAATACATAGGCGGATCTGGGGTGGGGGTGCAGGTGTGCGCATCCCCCCCTTGTGCTGCAAGTTTGTTAAATGACCATTGAAGCACACCTCCTTTTCTCAATAGTGTGCAAAACCAACCCCTCGCCCACTCCCCACCCCTCAGCCACCCGCCCACCACCACCACACCTCTTTCTCAAAAAGCTGTATCGCACTGGATATCAAACACGTGAGTACTACAAAAATAGTACGTATGACGCTTCGTTGACTTTGTCACTCTTGTTTAACGACATTATATACTCTATCGTCCAATGACATGATATGTTTCATGCGTAATATACCTCCTGTAAAGTGACGGACATGGCATTTTATTGACTTTTGGGCGTCAGTTGGTTGTTTTTGTTAATTGATAATGTCGTAAAAGCTACATCCTCTATCGAGAACATGCGCATGCGTATTCACGCATTGCATTCCATCATGGCGGACAAAGCGACGTACTGTAGCAGACTACTTCTGTCACTTATTGGTAATTATAAACATTGAGTTTGTTTCCGAGATTCTTCGCTGTAGATTGTAAACAGAAATGTCACATTCTTGATTTTAATCTGCATGTGTGATTTAATTTGTCCTGTCATGTCAGTTCCTGAAGTTTGTTTTTCTGTTGCCATGTAAATATGTTTGTATTTTTCTTAGATGACAGTCATCCGTCATTGTATATGGACACGATCAATGACACTGAGTACATACAAGTATTGATTAGTCGGTTGCTAGTGACTTGCTACGACCTATTTATTTTGAATAGTTGGTCGCTGTTACGGTTAACTGTACAATTTATACTGGGCTGCTTCACTCCCGAAGTTGTTTTAATTTCCGTCCACTGACATGCGATCGTCATCTAGCATGTTTAGTGAAAATCCTGTTTTCATGGATTCTTGATATCACGATCTATCCCGGGTTTGAAAAAGTACAACCTTCAGAGCATAGTAATATGTGCGAGACACCTTATAGACTGTTTAAAATGACATACTGTCATGTTTATATTTTCATAACAAAAAGATATATGTTCCATTTTCAATGCTCATGTATAAGTTAGGGTGAATTAAAAAAATAGCAGTATCCAGTATCGTTTCACACATTGTAACAATGAGGGGGTTGAACCCTGGTCTTCATTATGAAAGGCAAATATATTATGGACAAGGATACCTGACTGCTCCCTATATATAACTTACAGAACCGTAACGTAAATTCGTGGATAACCTTGATTCGTGGATCCCGGCAATTATTATGCTAGCTCGTTACTTAAGTCTCGACTGACGTCACAAAGCGGTACTTTTGATGTGCATACAATGCCACCCCTCGCTGACAAAAAAGTTCCGAATTTTTGCATTACATGCAAGTACACTAAATTAGGCATTTTGAATTTGGTGAATCAATGAATAAATTAATCAGTGCGTATACAAAATGAAATCATGCATTTAAAATATGCATTCGACCGCACTACCCTTATATCCACGAATCAAGGTTACGCGAGTGTGTAAGTTGACAGATTGCTAAAAAATATTCCAAGTGTCAAAGTCGCGTTCAGGCAAATATTTTGGGAAATAACATGTTTCTCAATATGAATGTGACATTACATGCACAATACCAAGTAAATATAGTGATAAGTGTGAGACACAAATGAAAGATAATACAGACAACATCACAGACTCCATTTCAAGGTATACAGAATAAATCTTATATTTGTGAATGTGGTAGTAAAGAATACATGTTATGCTTCATGTTTTTCTTAGCCCTTCACACAATGTTTACAAAACAAAACCTTTTCACAGACACCCTGATAAATGTCTAATACTTGTAATAGATTTATGCTGTCTTGTGATAATATGTACCAGGATGTTTGTTTGAAATCCTCTGTGACCTATTTGCCTTTATAGATACTGGACCTTAGCCTCCCTGAAGTTAGATGTTGAAGTATTAAAAAGTACTCACATTGGCATGTAACGCTAAAAACTAGCATTATCGCTGATGTAGTCAATGACATGGTATTAATTAATATAGCTTTTAAAAAACGCTGTCTGTGAGTATATGAGCCTCGATAACAAGCCACTGAGAATATAAGAACTAATTGAGCTGAGCCTAATTTTGAAAACTGAGGAAATTATTATTATTATTTATAGTTATATGACATATTTAACCTTTTCACATTTTTCATTGCAGCAAAAACTTAAGCAGAGCAAGAATGAAATAAGCACCATGACAGACAACATGATGACAGTTGAAGATACTTCAACATTGCTTGGTGGCAAACCACCAGGTACTCCCAAAAGAAAGAAAAAGGGCGCACTTGCAAAACTTGCTGAGAGAAAACGACGAGCATCACTTGTTTCAGAAGCAGAAAGCAACCTAGGATCAGTACTGTCAGTGAAAGAAAAAGCTGCCAGTACAGATGAAAAAGGTTACTCAAAGAGTTCAAGTGCAAGAAATGAAGTGATCACATCTACTGAACCCTGAAATGTTTATATTGAACCAGTCGTTGTTGTACAACCCAATACACCTGTTGGTGTTGATGCAGCAAAGCCCAAGCCTAAGCCAAGGAAGGTGGCCAGAAACAGTGAAGGCCGTGTATCCCCAGTCGGAATGGAGATAGATGAAATGGCTTTATCAGATGATGATAAAGATTGTTTGCAAGGATCTCAAACTGATGCAACTTTACACAGATTCAGAAATCTTAGAATGGCTACCGAGAGATCTGGGTCAGTCGAATCTCTGAAAAGTAGCCCTTTTGTGCCCAAACCACCTTCCACTCCCAAAAAGTCTGCAAGGGGATCATCATCTAAAGGAGAGAAACGGACCAGGGATCCCAACTCCTCTGGGGATGAACCCGATCAGGGACATAAGAGACTTGTTTCCCAGGGGCTTGAAGATTTTAATGTGAATGCGAATGATTCCAATGGTGCTAATAATATTGTTCAAAGCAGTTCTACAGACAATTCACAACTCCAAGACTCAACTGTGCCAAAGTCAAGAAGAAAATTAAGGGAACATTTGAATAAAGAATTTGACAATGCAGACTTTAGTTTTGGACATTCAGTGAGTGAACCAAAGTCTGAGGTGGTAATAGGATCTATTTCAGATCTGAAGGCTGTCTCAGACCAGTATGAAAGTATTCTCTCAATGGATGCCAAGGAAAAGACTCGAACCCCTCGGTCAGCAAGGCTGCCTCCTGTATCTCCAAAATCACGCCCACCTCCTCTAGGACAGAATATAGCCTCGAAATCTTTAAGGACAACATATAAATCTGATTTGTATCCAGAAAAATTTATGTCATCTCAGCAAAGCAACCTAGACTGCTTATCTGAAAGATCGTTTGTTTCTTCCAGTGTTATGACAGCTATAACCACCAGACAAGCCAGGGAAAGGTAACATAAAAGGCAGAATGATTGATTTGACCCTCATGCTTTGAACCGTTGGCTGACTGTACATGGTCCTGCCCCTACAACCTGATTCGTTGCCAATACTATTAACCACTGTTTGTCTGTGTCCTCCTGCTGTACAGCTTGGGTTGTGGCTCATACCACAGGGGCGTGTCACGCTTAGAAACAGCGTTAGAAAGACATATAGGTACATAGACCCTACCCTAGTACTATATAAAAGGAAAGGGATGTAACAACGGAACCACCCCCTCCTCAATCAAAGTTAGATTTCACCACGTGAACTATTTTTCAGGCCCCGTCGAGGCCTACGGATCGAAAGCGAGATGATTTCCCTACAAAATGAGCTATAAATGGTCACAATCGGCTCATTATTTCAAAAGTTATACGCCACTGGTCGGCTCAATCAGTAAACAGCTACCTGAGTGGGGTATTCATGCTCCACTGCGGCATGGTAATCTCAGTGGGACAGCTAGCACTATAGTATAAAACCAGCTTAAGTCTGGGCTAGTACAAGTAGCCGCACATACACATACACACGCATGCACGTCGTCATATGAGCGAAATATTCTCAAGCACGACGTAAAACCCAATTTCGCCTCAACTCACCTCTACAATAAAAACTTTCCATCCTATCTCAAAGAACTTACTAAGTATCTCCCCTTACTCACCTCAGCAGAATCTCAGATCCTTCAGTGACTCTCTCTTGAATCAACCAAAATCACTAAATGGACTTTTCGAACACGCCTGCTCTTTCTTCAGCCCGAAACTCTGGAATTCGCTTCCCCAAAACCTCAGAAATACAGCCACTAATGACACCTCTAAATCACAGCTTAACACTCACCTATTTCTATCTGTGTACCAGTAGATAATCATTCTCTGTTTTATGTATATATGTTCAGTTTTATCACTGTATTAGCACCACTGAGCATCTGTAAGGTGGATATTAGGCTCTTTATAATTGTATTAATATTATTATTATTATCATTAGTTGACCCTGTTTCTGTTTCTGGGTTTGTCATTCATGTGTACATGGGTTTCACCAAAGTAGTAAATCTCCTCCCATGTTAGCTGACATGGTAAAACCAGAGTATTGTTTACAGTGGCAATGAACCCTACAGGGCTCCAGATAATTTTTCAACATCAGGAGTACGAACTCCTTATTTTTTCAATATAGGAGTACTCGAAAACCATAAGAGTACATTTAGAGTACTGAACGGAATTTAATGGAGTATCAGTAACCCTGTGTTTCGTTTCATATATGCACCACAACATTGCTAGTCTTGTGCAAACAGGTCAATAAACAATAAAACAAATACTTTTTCAGATAAATACGTAAATGATTCTAAGACCATACACCATTGCCGTGGTGCGTATCTGCTACATTTTCTAAATTATTTCCTACCGTATCGTGCATATTTTTTATCCGTACATACGCCGATACGGCCCTTATCTGGAGCCCTGAACTCTAGCTTGCCGTTAATGGCTGCAAAATTGCTGATTCGACGTAAAGCAATATTTACTCAGTCACTCAATCTCTGTTAACAGCATGGTTTGATGTTTATGTTATCAACCACGGGATGACTACCCTTAGGCACCATGCAAAAGGCTGTACATTTATGGCAAATTAGCTATGTCCACAATATATGTCAGGGGCTTAACAACATATATGTATATGAATGTACTGGTAACTCTCAGAGTGTTAGTATATTGTGCCATGTGTTTGTTCATATTGCAGGAGGGCGGTGGGGTAGCCTAGTGGTTAGGCGTTTGCTCGTCACGCTGAAGACACAGGTTCCATTCCCCACATGGGCACATTTCTGGTGTCCTGCACCGTGATATTGCTGAAATATTGCTAAAAGCGGCATAAAACTGAACTCGCTCACTCTCTCATATTGCAGGAACTTCCTGGTGGGCAACTCAAGCACCCAGTCGTTGCTGGGCAGCGAAGAGCTGGAGCGTTACTTCCCTTCCAAGGAAGTCCACATCTTTGTTGGCACATGGAACATGAATGAGATCAAGGTAACACTATGAAACAATGAGAAACTGTGTGTATCAGACTGTGACTTCTACCACTAGTCCAAAGAGTTCCGGAATCTCGTGAAATCAGCTGCTGGTAAACTCATCATCCATTCATAAAGTTCATGTCCGATGGTTGCTCTTAATATAGGACTCATTAGGGCATCGATTATGTGTGCAGGGGTGGAAATAACCCATTGTCCGACGCCCCATTCCAGTGTTTTTTGCTGTCGGGCTAGCAGATTTGTATGTCACGCTGTACCGGTGTCCAGTTGACTTTCCAATGTTAATTATGTTGTTTATTTAAAAAATCAACAAGAAAATCGGTCGGTATAGTGGAAGAATTATCAGGGCAAGTGATTTTACATGTGCCACTGTACCGGAGTACACTAGCAATTTTAAAGTTATTTCCACCCCTGGTGTGTTATAATGTTTACAAATGGCCATTGTCATTTCAGTCTCAAGTAGTTCCAAGCACCGCTTCACTGATGAAAAGAAACTGATGATATGATACTTAATATTCCAGATAGTTCCAGATAACATCAATGACTTCCTCCTGCCGCAGACCTCCATGTATGTTCAGGACATATACTGTGTGTGTACCCAGGAGAATGGCCTCAACAAGTAAGTCTGTAGGAATAGATCATTGCCGATATCACAATCATTGGATGTGGTTGTTTCTTTTACACTACATCAGCAATATTCCAGCTTTCTAATGGTGTCCTGTAGATTCACGTCATGAATTCGGAACACTCAGTGATCAGAGAGCAAACGATCCATTGTGTCAGCCAAGTCTGTGAGTCTGAACATCCCTTATGTTACATGTTACAGATGCATTTGAGAGGTACCATGTTACAGTTTCCCTTTGTCTGTTTTGATTATACAACTTCCAAACCTGCAGTTTCTGTGGTACCAGTTTCTTACCAGTTATTTAGATGCTACCAGTTCCCTCCATCTGTTTACTTGTCACCAGTTCCTCACTGGCTGTTTGTTGTTGTGTTGTAGGAGAGACTGGGAGGTGAAGATCCAGGAGACCCTGGGGCCGTCTCACGTCATGTATCACTCCGCGTCACATGGCTCACTCCACCTGGCAATCTTCATCCGTAGAGACCTCATCTGGTTCTGTTCTGGTAAGCCAGTTGTCAATGCAACTCCTTTAACCTTTTCCTTCATTCATCTAGCAAGTAATGAAAAGCCGGGGAACTACAAACTATGAAAACTTTATTTCTGATAATGTTGTATATTTCAGCCCCAGAGGACGACTTTGTGACAACACGTGCCATGACGATGGTGAGGACGAAAGGCAGCATCGCATGCTGCTTCTCTATGTTTGGTTCATCCTACCTCTTCTTGAACTGCCACTTTACACGTGAGTAGCCCCTCCTTCATCAACTGCCACTTTACACGTGAGTAGCCCTCCTTCATCAACTGCCACTTTACACGTGAGTAGCCCCTCCTTCATCAACTGCCACTTTACACGTGAGTAGCCCCTCCTTCATCAACTGCCACTTTACACGTGGTAGCTCCTCCTTCATCAACTGCCACTTTACACGTGAGTAGCCCCTCCTTCATCAACTGCCACTTTACACGTGAGTAGCCCCTCCTTCATCAACTGCCACTTTACACGTGAGTAGCCCCTCCTTCATCAACTGCCACTTTACACGTGAGTAGCCCCTCCTTCATCAACTGCCACTTTACACGTGAGTAGCCCCTCCTTCATCAACTGCCACTTTACACGTGAGTAGCCCTCCTTCATCAACTGCCACTTTACACGCGGAGTAGCCCCTCCTTCATCAACTGCCACTTTACACGCGAGTAGCCCCTCCTTCATCAACTGCCACTTTACACGCGAGTAGCCCTCCTCATCAACTGCCACTTTACACGCGTGAGTAGCCCTCCTTCATCAACTGCCACTTTACACGTGGTAGCCCTCCTTCATCAACTGCCACTTTACACGCGTGTAGCCCCTCCTTCATCAACTGCCACTTTACACGCGAGTATCAACTGCCACTTTACACGTCCTCCTTCATCAACTGCCACTTTACACGCGGAGTAGCCCCTCCTTCATCAACTGCCACTTTACACGCGAGTAGCCCCTCCTTCATCAACTGCCACTTTACACGTGCCACTTTAGTAGCCCCCTCCTTCATCAACTGCCACTTTACACGTGAGTAGCCCTCCTTCATCAACTGCCACTTTACACGCCACTTTACACGAGTAGCCCTCCTTCATCAACTGCCACTTTACACGCGTAGCCCCTCCTTCATCAACTGCCACTTTTCATCACACGTGAGTAGCCCTCCTTCATCAACTGCCACTTTACACGTGTGTAGCCCCTCCTTCATCAACTGCCACTTTACACGTGAGTAGCCCCTCCTTCATCAACTGCCACTTTACACGTGAGTAGCCCTCCTTCATCAACTGCCACTTTACACGTGAGTAGCCCCTCCTTCATCAACTGCCACTTTACACGTGAGTAGCCCCTCCTTCATCAACTGCCACTTTACACTTTACACGAGTAGCCCCTCCTTCATCAACTGCCACTTTACACGTGAGTAGCCCCTCCTCATCTTCATCAACTGCCACTTTACACGCATGTAGCCCCTCCTTCATCAACTGCCACTTTACACATGAGTAGCCCTCCTTCATCAACTGCCACTTTACACGTGAGTAGCCCCTCCTTCATCAACTGCCACTTTACACATGAGTAGCCCCTCCTTCATCAACTGCCACTTTACACGTGAGTAGCCCCTCCTTCATCAACTGCCACTTTACACGCGGAGTAGCCCCTCCTCCTCATCAACTGCCACTTTACACGGAGTAGCCCCTCCTTCATCAACTGCCACTTTACACGTGAGTAGCCCCTCCTTCATCAACTGCCACTTTACACTTCATCAACTGCCACTTTACACGTGAGTAGCCCCTCCTTCATCAACTGCCACTTTACACGTGTAGTAGCCCTCCTTCATCAACTGCCACTTTACACGTGAGTAGCCCTCCTTCATCAACTGCCACTTTACACGTGAGTAGCCCCTCCTTCATCAACTGCCACTTTACACGTGAGTAGCCCCTCCTTCATCAACTGCCACTTTACACGTGAGTAGCCCCTCCTTCATCAACTGCCACTTTACACGTGAGTAGCCCTCCTTCATCAACTGCCACTTTACACTTTACATGAGTAGCCCCTCCTTCATCAACTGCCACTTTACACGCGGTGAGTAGCCCCTCCTTTCATCAACTGCCACTTTACAACGAGTAGCCCCTCCTTCATCAACTGCCACTTTACACGCGGAGTAGCCCCTCCTTCATCAACTGCCACTTTACACGTGAGTAGCCCCTCCTTCATCAACTGCCACTTTACACGCAGAGTAGCCCCTCCTTCATCAACTGCCACTTTACACGTGAGTAGCCCTCCTCATCAACTGCCACTTTACACGGTGTAGCCCCAGTCCTTCATCAACTGCCACTTTACACGCCAGCCCTCCTTCCCATCAACTGCCACTTTACACGGGTAGCCCCTCCTTCATCAACTGCCACTTTACACGTGAGTAGCCCTCCTTCATCAACTGCCACTTTACACGTGAGTAGCCCTCCTTCATCAACTGCTTCATCAACTGCCACTTTACACGCGAGTAGCCACTCCTTCATCAACTGCCACATGACATGTGAGTAGCCCCTCCTTCATCAACTGCCACTTTACACGTGAGTAGCCCCTCCTTCATCAACTGCCACTTGACATGTTGTTGTGTGTTGATTCACAGATTGAAACTAAAATATAGCCGAGAATCAGTCTGTGAAATATAACCCATCAGTGAAACCAACAAAGAAATGTGCTGCAATTAACAATTATATTCTAAAATTGACTAAGTTCATAAATCTCTACAAATCACTACAAAGGGCCTTCACTAATCATGTGAGTAGTCCCTCCTTACCCAGCTGCCATACTGCTTTATACATGTGTTGCCTTGTCTGCTGTATGATGTACCATGTAGGACATGATGCTTGTTTTAGCTGATGTGAGTAAGAAGAAGGAGCGTCTTAATGACTACATGAAGATACTCCAAGGCATCAAACTGCCCAAGTCTTCCTCCATGGGTACCCCCAGATCAGGTCAGTAATCCTAATAATTCACAGGGTTATTATGTCTGTTTGAATGTAGACAAACTAAATTGAGTTGTATAAAGGCAAAAGACAATGTGGCATAAATATGTAGATGGATATGGCCACCAGTCTGTGGTTTAGTTGTTTCATCTTAAAAACTGGTAAATAAATGATTTATCCAAAATGGATTTTTTCGGATATGGACAGTGGTGTCCTCTGCATATTATTGGGGGTTCCCAGCATAAAATACATGTTGAAGGCATAGTAGTGTTTGTCCAAGGTATAAAATATGGGGTTCATGGCATGACATTTGGGCATGATAAGGAGTGTTCATGAAAGAGTAAATTATTTCAATTAGATCTGGTCTTTGCAATCTCAGTAAGACACCTCTTCAATATTGTTTGTAAGTTTGTGTGTTTAACTCTCAGCTATGTTCTAGCTATATGTCAGTGGCCTGTAATTACTGGCGTTTGGATCAGATATATTGAGCCATGTCGTGGCATGAGGAGTTTTCATCAAAATGAGGATGGTGATTTCAACTCTCTTCCTGCTTGTGCTTCAGGTGATTCCACCAACAACTTCGACAGCGTCTTCTTCTGGCGGTGACCTCAATTTCCGCATCGAGAGGAAGAAAGCTGCTGTGGAGGGGATGGTGGACCACATTGAAGACCAACAATTTAAGAACTACGAAAATCTCTTGGGAGGAGACCAGCTCTCCAAGTTTATGGTGGAAGGTGTGTTTATTGATAGACAGCTGTATTGCAACTATGTGATGGCACTTTATAAATAATAACACCAACACCTGACAAACTAGTAATTGACAGAAGGAGCTGTTTCAGTGATGACAAGCGGTTGCCCAATTTGATAAATCTGACCAGTCCGTCCATTTCACTGTTTGAGATTATATGTGAAGATCAAGCAGTAATTGTCATTATCCTAAAGGTGGTAAATTTTAGGATCCCTATATTCAAATACTATGTGAGCACACACATCAGAAATTCATCTTGGGCCGCCGAGTTGTTCATAGTTAACGTTTGGGCTCAGATTATCCCTGTGAATGGTGTCAACTATTTGATTGTGTCTGAAATGTTCTTACCATTCTTTCCACTGAGCCAACAAGCGCCCCCATCGTCCCTTTCCTTGGCTGACTCACTTTAGCATGTATAATACACAGTTGAATGATGTTTTTCCAGGAAAAATATTTCAAGGTTTCCCAAGAGGGAAGGATAAATTTTCAGCCGTCATACAAGTTTGACCCCAAAACTGACCAGTATGATACATCCCACAAATCCAGGATTCCCTCTTACACGGTATGTACAGCAGTGTTTGCGGTAGAAAAATAATCTTTGCGTTCGGAAAATGCATAGCCCCAAGAATCTTGCGTGTGCATGCACTAAATTTCATTGCTCTAATATTATTTGGCTTGGTATTATTTGGACACAGTATTAACATGTTTTGTTTTGTGTATCTAATATGTGATATATGGATTTTCAAATTTGTGAAATTTTGCCTAGATGCTGGTGCCAGAAGGCGGTGGCTCATGGGCCAATCTGGTAGAATAATTGATTTTTCATTTTTTTTTTGCTTGAGTATGTCATCCGGGTATCCCTGGTGCTGCAAGTCGGAGACCCACTTGTTATTAGCACTGTCTTTATGATACTCCGTGGTGGGTGGGGAGCTCGGATGATGAAACAATTACTAACTCAACATGGCTTACCAAACTCCCTCAAAAATGACCAAACGACAACTAGACAATGACAATGAAGAGAATGAATCCACGCTAACAGAAAATTGGCCACGTTTCCTTGTTCTTGACACTGTTGACAAGACTCCACTCAAGTTGAACCCTTATATGGCATTGCAGGCGACGTTAAGAACATCAAACGCTTACGTTCAGGCTCTCTACTGATTGAGTGCAGTAGAAAACAGCAGGCATCTAACCTATTGACAATGCAAAATTTTGCTGGCATCCCTGTTTCAGTCACTGCCCATAGAACCTTGAACACCTGCAAAGGCATTATAAGAGACAGAGACCGTTTGTTAGCTGACATGTCAGAACTGGACATTGTATCGGAAATGAAAGATCAGGGTGTGACATATGTCAAACGATTTACCACCCGCAAAAACAACGAACTGATTCCGACAAACACATACCTATTTTCATTCTCAACTCCAAGTCTCCCTCAGTCTGTTAAAGTGGGTTACTGTAGTATCACAGTTGCAGTCTACATCCCAAATCCATTGAGGTGTTTTTGATGCCAAAAATACGGTCATGGTGTTAACACCTGTACACAGCCAGTGACGTGTGCTCACTGTAGCGAGAGGTCTCATGTGACGGAAGACTGCACTAGTACTGTTAAAAAATGCACAAATTGTTCAGGCAATCATTCATCCTTTTCCAAGGATTGTAAAATGAGGCAAAAGCAAATGGAAATAAACAAAGTTAAATTCACTCAAAACATTAGCTTTACTGATGCTAAAAAGATTGTGGAATCAACACTACCTAACGAAACTTATGCATCAGTCGTCAGATTACCTTCCGAAACCATGCCTAAAGTACCGTATATGACCGTCTATAAGACGACCCCATGGATAAGACGACCCCCAAGCTTGACCCTTAAAATCAGTGTCAAAATGGTATGTTTCGTGCATAAGTCGATCCCCCGCGATGGGGTCCTAATCGCGGCAAACACAGACCACAGACAACTGGCAGTTACCAATAATTATAACTTTGGTCCACATTATTCAAAGAATTCACGGTCATATATATTGTGTCTACTCACGGATCGAAACGAAAATGCATAATATATTTTGCTTCTCTAAATATCATATTTATTGTAGCAACAAACTGGCTTGCTTATTTTACCCCATTCAACAATCACAGCGCTGATTACGCCTCTTTTTCCATTGACTGCTAGTTTACAGTAACATCGGTAAAAATGTGTGAATTTAAATGGCGTCCGTATTTTACCCCATTCCATGTGCTTACCACGTTCATGAGGGTCCGTATAACCTTAGTGTTGATTATATATATTTTACATAAAAACTGCAAAATAAAATTACACAATGCTAGGATATATTTCTTTGGGTTAAATAATAGTATTCTGTATTATATTTTACTGATGACTGCGTCAGAATTCATCCCGTTATATTATTGTGCATGTTTGTCAAACAGACCTGACTTGGGTTAAAACTGATAACCCTAAACTTCTCACGCCTGAGCAATCTACTCAGACTTCAGACGCAAGTGTTAACACTATGATGATATCTACAGTTCAGGATGAAGAATGCACAGTGTCACAGACTCGTTCTGAAACAAGTTCGAAGTCAAAATGTACTGGCAAACTGAGAAGGGGAACTGGGAAAACGGGTGGCAGACCACCCAAGGGTTCAGAAAATCCAATAAACTTATTCAATAAAAATTTTTCCTTATCCTGACTCATGCTTATTGCTTGTCTCCTTCCTTTTGCGAACGTTAGTGGAACACTTATATCTTCTATTGAAGCTCCCTTCAATAAAAACAGACATAAAATCACTACTCACCATGAGTTATCTCTCTGGCCGTTTTGGCGGGAAAAGTGGCACCACCACTCCCACATGCTTCACTCTCTCCTTCTTCGCCCTAGTGGACGGTTGGGAGAGCGCCTGTGTCTCCTATACGGCACTATATCCTTTTATTTATTAGTTATTACCCTATACATTACCTTTATAGGGGTTTAGCGAGTATCTTTCAACAATATGGTTTGAAATGTATTCAGTATTTTCACTGTTTATTCACGGTTTTGTCCGTGTTTGTTCAGTTGTTTACATTTCATGAAAACCTGTTTTCGTTGTAGGTTTAGGTTCTGGCAGTTCAACGCTAACTACACAATAAGGGACCCTTCATGAAGGCACAAGAGATCGATGTCAACTATAAGGTCATCAACTTCGCCTCGACCAAGTCTTGCGACGACACAAAGCTGGCGCAGATAGAGACGGTATGTCCAGAAGGATGTTCTTCGCCTGAACAGATCCAGGGCAGTGAATGACGAGACGCTTCATCGCCAAGTTCATGGAATTTGCTAACGCGAGAGGAGGACCGATGAGCTACTCTGCTCTACTCATGCAGAAGAAGCGACCAGCAGTTTATGACGGACCATCTATCATCCATCTCAGCAGCGCTTGACGGTGGCGATCTAATAAGGACTACTGGCATCCTGCACCTGGAGCTAAATGCTTCACTAAGTCGCTGTACAGAGCCCTGCTATCGAGCATCATCCATCTTCGCGAGGGGAGATTGACGACGCCGCCAAGGAAGTTGCCAAAGACTCCAGAAGTCTCCTCATGATAAAGTCCATCGACAGCTACCGCCAGTGTCATCAGGCAGACGCCCCAGCGCCACTTCCCGCAAGTCGAATTTCGCGAGGGCTTATGTCAAACTATGTAAATGATCACCTTCTGAGGAGGCTGACTCTTTTCACGCTTCCAGCTACTCATGCAGAAGAAGGACCAGCAGTTTATGACGGACCATCTATCATCCATCTCAGCAGCTGACGGCGTAGACGACAAGGACTACTGGCATCCTGCACCTGGTTTAACCTAAGTCGCTGTACAGAGCCCCATGGTCGACATCATCATCCATCTTCGCAGGGGAGATTGACAACGCCGCCATGGAATTTTTCGAAGACTCCAGAGAAGTCCCTATGATAAAGTCCATCGATACACTCGCCAGTGTCATCAGGCAGACGCCCCAGCTACTCGGCAAGTCAATTTCAGCAGGCATCCAGAAGGCAAGAAAAATGAGCACCTTCCAGAGTGAGGGAAGGACTTTTCGTCGCGCCCCAGTCAAACACCCGACGCAGGCAGGCACCAGAGGCCAAGGTTCAGAGACGATGAAGGAGGGGTTCGAACTAATTGGAAAGTCTTCCACCCCTGCACAACCTTCACAAGTGGGTGGACGCCTACAAAACTACTGGGAGAACTGGGGCTTATATCAAGAGCTATGTGTATCCACAGCATCCTAAGAGACGGATATCGTGATACAACTACAAGCAACTCCGGCCATATTGACAGACCTAACCTCACAAGTTCAACTTCAAGACCCATCGGACAGAGAGAGGCTAATACGAGAAGCGGTCACATCTCTACTAGACAGCTTGCAAAGTGGTGGACCAGACCAGTCAGTCAGGGATTCTACTCCCAGTTTTCCTAGTGCCAAAGGTAAAATACTTCAAAATAAGTTCCGATCTTCGTTTCTCCATGAGTGCCTTCAAGATGGAATTTTTACGGATACAACCAAAGCTTATATCAACCATGTGTAAATCACAACCGGCAAACTGAGAAGGGAACTGGGAAAAGCGGGTGGCAGACCACAACACTCGCTTGAATGTTTCAGTGATATAACTGATCCCATTCAAACTTTTGCTGGCGTTTTAAAGCAAATAGCTGATGAGTGTATACCAAAGTCCTCTGACTCCACATAATACGAAAACCATGGTTTAATACAGATTGTAGACAAGCCAGAAAAAGCGAGGAAAAGGCAGAGCCGTTAAAATCATCCAACTGTCCATAACTTAAATAAATTTAAAATACTCAATGCAAAGGTGCGTCATACCTTTAAACAAAACAAACGGCAATCTTGGAGAAATTATGTCTCCAAAATTAATTCACGTGACGCCAATGTCCAGAGTATGGAACATGGTTCAAAGAATTAAAGGCAAAGGTTCAAAATCTGCTGTTCACCATCATAAAGATGGCGATAATTTAATAACTGACAAATCTAAAATTGCAGATAAAATTGGCGTGAAACTCTTGCCAAAAATTCATCATCGGCAAATTATGTCCCTGAGTTTCAGAGATATCAGAAGCAACAGGAAAAGACAAAACTTAATTTCAATCACATAACGGTGAAGATTATAATGAAGTGTTTTCATTACATGAGCTACATACTGCTCTTGAGCAAGCTCATGACACTGCAGCGGTGATGACAATATACATTACCAGCTACTGAAACACTTTTGAACCATGTATGATGACACTTTTAGATATATTTGACCAAATATGGACGTCTGGAGAATTTCCTCCTTCATGGCGTAATGCCATTGTAGTCCCAATACCAAAACCTGGCAAGGATCATACAGATCCGTCCGAATTACAGGCGATCTCTCTAACTAGCTGTGTTTGTAAAACCATGGAGCGTATGGTGAATAATAGATTAACTTGGTATCTTGAAACCAATAACCTTATAACAAATATTCAATGTGGTTTCAGGAAAATCAGTAGTACCATTGATCATTTGGTGCGTTTAGAATCCTTTGTTAAAAATGCTATAGTAAATAAACAACATGCTGTATCAATTTTCTTTGATCTTGAGAAAGCTTATGATACAACCTGGAAGCATGGCATTTTGAAGGATTTACATGATTTTTGGTTTGAGAGGCCGTTTGCCTCTTTTATATCACAGTTTTAAAAGACAGGCAATTTCAGGTCCGAGTGGGTTCAACCCTGTCTGACCATTATAATCAGGATCAGGGTGTCCCCAAGGAAGTATTTTGTCTGTCACTTTATTTAGCATTAAAATCAACAGCTTATCCAAGGTTTTAAAGCGATTCAATTGATGGATCACTTTTTGTGGATGATTTTAACATTTCTTGTCGCGGTAAGAATATGCATACTATAGAGCGGCAACTACAGTTGTGTTTTTAATAAAATACATAAATGGTGTCTTGAAAACGGCTTTAAATTTTCTAAATCAAAACTAATTGCATACATTTCTGCGTAAATATAAACCACATAAAGACCCAGAACTGTTTTAAAATGGCACTCCCATCAAGGTTGTAAAAGAGGCCAAGTTCTTAGGTCTCATTTTTCGACTCCCATTTAACTTTTCTTCTGCATATCAAATCTCTAAAAACTAAATGCCTGAAGGCACTCGATTTATTGAAAGCCGTGTCTAACTCATGGTGGGGAGGGGATCAGGCTACGCTCCTACACCTTTACAGATCACTTGTCCGCTCGAAGCTTGATTATGGCTCCATCGTATATGGTGGAGCCTGTAAAAGCAACCTCAAACTCTTAGATTCAGTCCACCATCAAGGTCTGAGACTTTGTCTTGGGTCCTTCAGAACTTCTCCTGTTGACAGTCTTTACGTCGAGGCAGATGAACCTTCTCTTAACCAACGCCGTATAAAATTATCTTTACAATATATTACAAAATTATATTCTGATGAGTCTCCTGCATTTCACTGTGTCTTTAATCCTCTTTATGAGGATTTGTATAACAAAAACTTTCTCTTGTTCCGCCTCTTGGGCTCAGAATTAAGCCATTTATTGCTGCTGCCGGCATTGAGCTGGAAAATATAGCTCCTTCCCGTCTTCTTTCTTCTCCTCCTTGGCAATTGGTTAGGCCACAAGTCGACCTAACACTCACTAAATTTAAAACATCAGAAACTAATGACTTACTATATAAACAAGAATATAATCAATTAAAAAGTAAATATAATACATTTAAATCCTTATTTACAGATGGGTCCAAGGATGGTGGCGCGGTTGCTTGTGCCACTGTCATTGGGTCCAAAACAATATCTTCCAGATTACCCAATGACAGTTCAATTTTCACTGCAGAAGCAAGCGCAATACTTACAGCTCTTAAATATATTCATAAACATCCTAAATATAAACAATATATAAAAAAAAATTCCGACTCTCTCTCTTGCCTTCAGGCTATTAAAAATCTTTCTTGTAAACATCCACTTTTATTAGAAATCATAGAATTATCTAATGATCTTGCCACTGGCCAATACGACATCGTCCTCTGTTGGTTACCCAACCACGTTGGTATTTCTGGGAATACTTTGGCCGATCTTGCTGCCAAGGCAGCACTCAACAAATCTGTGACACCACTTCTTATTCCATACTCTGATTACAAAGCCAGCATTAGAACTTACATCCGTGATCTGATGCAGAAGAAGTGGGACGCTCAAGTAGGTATTAATAAATTACATGAAATAAAACCCTATATTGGCTACACTTACTTGGGTTGTCAGTCCAGATTTGAAGAGGTCATCATGCGACGATGTCGTATTGGTCATACCAGATATACTCATGAGTACCTATTAAAAGGTGAGGATCCTCCGTTTTGTATCCCTTGTGATGAAAGAATCACGGTCAAGGGATATCAAATCACAAACTATGAAGGATCTTTTTAGAAATATACGTCCTCATTTAATTATTGCATTTTTAAAAGAATTAAACTTGTTAACTGATTTGTAAATAGATACATATTTTATTATTGGTAGTTTAGATTAGTAACTGAGATTGTTAGTGGCTGTACCCTCAAAGGGGGTTGAAGTAGCGTAAAATTATTGTCCTCCTGAGAGGGTACATAAGTCCCAAAATGTTCAAAGTCAATTTCAGCTTGGCAGGATTTTAAACGTAGCATTCTTGTCATTTTAATTTTGGCTAACATTTCTTACAATCGCCAGCAGCTGAAGGGATGGTGTAAATCCAACTAGGGCCCATGCAGGTAGCCAAGGTACTGTAAGTCCCCATGGTCCCTGGTATGGTGATCTACCTTCTGGTGTTGGCGATCTATAGCTTGTTTTTATATTGTATTGTCCAAATAGTGCTATCAGTTTTAACTCTCCATACTAGTTTTAGTTGTACTTGTGATATTCTAGTTGTTTTACTGTCCTTCGTCGACAGGTTTTTATAACATACATATATTCCATTTCAATGTCAAATGTTCTCATTTCACTTTTTATTGTATAAATAGTTTTCGTCACGATATGGCTGAAATATTGCTGATGTGACATTAAATAATAACTCACTCACTCACTCACTACTTTTTGGCTTCATAGCCCTCATGGATACATTGGTTGGAAAGTTCACCAGCTCAAATGGAATGTTTGATGCTCGACTTTGGATTTGAAGTTCTGTTTAAAGTTGAAGTAAATCACTGATATTTGGTTATCATCCTTGTCCAATGTTCAGAAAGAGATGTCAGAAGATGAGTATTTATGGGAAAATTTCCACGTCACTGTGAATGGAGCCACATGTTTAATAGTTTGTTTGATGGCTGCCAGGATCGTATATTGTTCCGGTGTAAGAAGAAGAACTGGGTCCAATGTGTGCAGTACGACTGTGTGATGTCTGTCCGCCACTCCGACCACAAGCCGGTGTTTGGTGTGTATGAGACCTGCATCAAGGCTGGGAAAGAAGGGTGAGTGGAACATACACCAAAAGCGTCACTCATACACCAACAACGTCACACTTACACCAATAACGTCACACATACACCAGCATCACACCAATAGCGTCACACATACACCAGCGTCACACATACACCAACTTCACACATACAACAATGTCACTAGTACACTTGGTAGGAGGCCCTTCAAACCTTATTGGAATGGTTGCCCCAACTCGACAGATCATCAGAAATATGGTTTTGTTCAAACCTGATACGACGGTGAATAATACTGTGTAATTTTGCTTTCTCATGGGGTTATTTTTAGTAACACAGCTGTGACCTATGACGTATTTATCCTACACCGATAAGCCAAACATCTGCATTGTAATGTAGTCACTATTTTAGTCCTGGACCAAACAGTGCTTAGCTTACATCACATAACTACTTATGTTTCTTGCTTGAGTGTATGCTTTAAAGATTTGCTTGACAATGTATGCACTGTGCTTTGCCTGAATACCTGGCAGGAGTTGCAGGTTTCAGTGAGTTACTTCTCTTAGACATGCCAGAATCTGTTTACATTAGGTTCAAATCTCAGATTTAACTGCATCAATCTCTTGTACCAAGAAAGCTTTGATATTGAAAGGCTGCTAAGAAAGTCCACCTAATGTGACCTTCCTGTAGATAGGACCCGAGATCTCTATGCAGAGAGGTATCAGAGTGAACTAGCTCATGTTCACAGAAGCAGTGTCAAACCCTACTGGTCACTGTGGATTTGTTTGTGTACAGGTGATCTTCTCTGTTGCAGGGCTCACTTGTCAGGTGGACAGTTTGATAGATCAGTATACATGGACGGTAAGTCAATAGCATACACAAAGTCCCAGCAAGCATCTCTCTCTCTCCCTCCCTCTCTCTCTCTCTCTCTCTCTCGTGTGTGAATATTTTACAATGTCTACTGGGTTTATGAAGCTGATATTTTTGAGTGGTCAAATGGTTGGTTTGAACTTTACAGAATAGAAATAAATGGCACTTGTACACTTTTGTCATTCTTTTATACTATTTCATTATTTTTCTATTCATTTTGGGGTCGGTAGACTATTTTACAAATGACCACCCAGGGGACGATTTGTGAATGCCATACATCCTGTGATAATTTCCATTATTGCTAGAGAAGCAGTATCACGTCCTAAACACTCTTGACTTTACTTGATAGTGCCACTACTCTGTTTCAGGCAACAAGAAGCGAGCTATGCACATGGTCAATGGAGAGAGGTCTCAAAAAGCCAGTTCAGTGTGCTCCATACAGTGACATTAGGAGACAGTGTCCTAGTTCTTGTACAACGAAGGTTCACACATGTAGTTACACACAGATGGAACTGGTTTCCTGTAAATCATGAAGAAATTATCATTTTCAGCATATTAGTTTTATAGACTCAGTTAGCATATTCATGTTATTTTGTTGAATCGGATTTGCATATTTCAACTGTTGTTGCATAAAGGTGACTATTTTAAAGGTTATCTCCCTTTGTTCAGATGCGATAGATTATTTTCATTTGCCTCAGCACAAAGGTTCTCCATTTCATTAGCATGTTGTTGTATTGCAGTCATCTGAACTGGGGCACCGAGTATCAACCTGGAAAATGGCTGGAAGATAAGCTGTGATATTTTGTAGTATATTTTCATAACTATGAATTTTTGTGATCAGTATTTTGGTGTATGCTGACTGGTGTTGAATTGTTCCCAGTGTTGGTAGTTAAAGGGATGTAGCAGTTGTCATATGTTAGTGATGTCATGCCAGTGAATGCTATCTTGTGCCAGGGGGTTCAGGGTACTGTCAAGGTTTGGTTTATGAATAGAGGGTGTTCAACTTAATGTAACCTGAATATTTGCTATAATGGCTATAGGGAAATACATCGAAATGTCTTTAAGCAGTTAGCTTCAGATATTTCTCGTGTAAGCTATTTATGATAAATACAGTACTGACAAAGGACAAGTGACACCATACTTTATCAAGATATAAGGGTGAGGTGTAACCGTCACCAAGGGTGACAAAGCTTAGGTCAACTTAATCCACATCATACAAAACTTGCTATGCCCAACAGAAATGATGAGTGTATAATGATAATAATTATTAATAATTGGCCACTTATATAGCGCTGAACTCCACGCTGCAGGGACATGCTCTAAAGCGCATACAGCATCATGGACATTATTACCCCAGATAATCCAAGCTGTCTGCAAGGCTCTGGAAGGTTAATGCGACTTATACCAACAGGTACCCAGTTTTCTGCTGGGTAAACAGAGGCAATTTTGAACAAACTCACTTGCCTAAGGTTGGCCCACATAACACATCTACAAAAATATAATGGCCCTGCTTTTTTTATCTGGATTTGTACTTTCAGTTTGTGTGATGCAGAAATCGGATATCCTGGTCAGAGTGCCTTGCTCAGTCATACTGGGAATTGAAAAGCCTCATCTCTGGTGGCTTATCTGTCATTCATTCTGCCTGAATTCAGTTTTTAATGTTACCTCCATTTGTCCAAATCACAGTTCCAGCAAGTCTTTACTGAACATGGTTTGAGTGAAAACAGCAGGCGCAGTTAAACCAGAAACCATGTTGTTCAGTAGATGTTCCTTCTCATTCATGCAGTGTGTTGTTATCGAACTGGTTTACTGCAGATGCTGTCTGTGTCCCCTTGCTTCTTTCTCGAGCAATTAGAAAAGCAATTGAACATAACTTACTGTGAGGATTAGGGTGAGAATTATCTACATTCTACTGGCATTAATTTGTCTGACAGTTAGACGTTGATGGATGTCAAAGCAGACAAATATTGGGATAGAACTTAGTACTGTTGTCATGCAGGGCTTACATGACATCGGCATAAGTATCTAAACTGAAACATTGTTATTACAGAATATTAAAGATGTCATTATCCACAAAGTTGTGGCTATTATCAGCGTTCTAAACACCTGCCTGCCCGACCGCATTTGAAAAAATATGACCGGTGGATCCTTAAAACAAGAAATAAAATTGGTCTGGCCTAAGCTAAATAAATCAATCTGAATGTAACTTAACAGAACTTCTAAGATGCTTCTGTGAAAGATCAAAGGCGCCGACAGTACTTCATCAGACGATAATGTGCACTTTTTTGCATTATGTCACAATCTATTGGCGTCACTGCACCATTCTAGTCTGCCCCCTCGTAATCTTCCTCGTGCTTTAACTATAATAGTTCAGGGCGAAAGTGTGCTTTATTACACTATACATGGTGGTAGAGCGAACTGTATTTCTTAAATAGACAAGGCTGTTTCTATGACAGCTCATGTATGATGGTTACCTGTTCTAAGTGGAACTATTACTTGCATAATTCTTTGAAAACATTTTTCTTTATCACAGTTGATAAGTCGTTTATAGGGCATTTGCCAGGAACTGACAAGCGTTGTGACAGTGAAGCATTGTACCTGCACCTGTTAATCTTTCACTTGTTTTATAGGTGTTGAATATGTCTGGAACCATTTTAGTTACATTTTTTGTACAGACTGTTAAATATTCTGTTTTTAAAGTGTATATGGTACATGTGACTATCTTCTTTTCTGTAGAACTCAACACTTGAACACTGATTTTACTGTACCAGACCAGTGAAGCTAAATGTCTTCAACTCAAATATTTGAATGTTTAGAAGAGAATTAGATTATCAGATAGTAATGAGTTCAACAAGGTGTTTTTAAACATTACATAACATGAAAATCAGATTAATTTTGTAGTAAAACCTTTTCAATGTAGTGTTCACATCTAAAGCATATGTGTTTATTAACCTTTCACCTGGTATTGGGTAGTCAGACTCATTGATTGACTGTCATGATGTCATTCACTCAAATGTCAGGTTCATATGTAATTATTTACAGATCATGTAGCCGGAATATTGTGTCTTTAAACAAAAAACAATGCAATTTAATTCACCATGTCTTTTCATTGACAGTATTGTCACAGTGTATTCTTGTAATGTGGCCCAACAACAGTGCACTTCTTCACACTTGGAGTAAAGTCCAGTCTCTTCTTCAGATTTTAGAGGTGTTGTCAAAATTACATCAATAGTTGTGTACATAGGATTTACTGTCTTCGCCGTGATGGACTGACTGACTGACTGAGTTTGGTTTTACGCCGCTTTTAGCAATATTCCAGCAACATCACAGCGGGGGACACCAGAAATTGGCTTCACACATACCCATGTGGGGATTCGAACCCGGGTCTTCGGCGTGACGAGCCAACGCTTTAACCACTAGGCTACCCCACCGCCCCTTCGCCGTGATGGAGCACCTGATTGTGTGAACTGTTGCTCCTGTCTCCGGTTTGACTTGATAGCCTTCTGTGATGGAGGTAAAATCAGTTACACTAAATAACATTCACTGGTGGTATACTTGCAGCAACATTGGTGATCCTGGTGTTGCAGTTTTATTTCTGAATCTAGGGACCCCTAAATGTTTATGATTACACAATGCCATTTAGAAAGTAGTCAAATGTAACATACATGTATGTTATATTTGGGATTACACTTTCTCAGTAAAGTGTAATTCCAAATGTAACATATGTTACATTTGACCACTTTCTAAATGGCATTGTTTAATCATAGCTTTCAGCCATAGGAGCCGTGCCAATTTACACTTATCAGAGGGGTACACAAAGTCCGCGGTCTAGACTACCAGTTGTCCGACTTCCATTTTTGTGGAAGTCACGGTGGCTGAGCGGGTTATGCGGCTGACTTTGTGTGCTGACGATTAGGTGCCTGACGCTGAGGGTGTGGTTTTGAAACCCAGATGGGACTCAACCCAACAAAAGTACTAGAATTGTACTTTACTAAGAAAGTGTAATCCCAAATATAACATATGTTATAAATGTTTATACTTTATGACATAGACTCTATTCTTAATGCAATCAGTGGTACATGCAACAGCTCCGTTGATATCATACAAATCATGTCCACTGTGGACATTGTCAGTGAACACACAGATGTTGCTTAATTCAAATAATTAGATGTGCTTACCTTGTTTCCTGGCAACTGTTTGTATCCTGTATAGTGTCAGTAGTGTACTGGGAAGCCGGGTAGACCGGAGGGAATGTTCAAGTGAATATGAAGACTGACAGTTGTTGGACATCCAGTAATTTCCTTCAGATACTTTCATGTGGTTCCAAGATTGTCAGGTTTGGGTTTCAGGGCCTGGTTTCACTGTATACATGTATCGATTCAATGGCAGCGGACTTATTCAGATGAATACACTTTTGTAGTTTTTTTACATTAGATGTCTTTAAGCTTTTACATGAGGTGTGTATCAAGTATTTGTACTTGCATAATTAATGGAAGCATATCGCCTGTCTCAGTGCAGCCAGCTGTAATATCAAGCATTTATTTATAGAGATTATATTTATGTGTGTCACAACCTTGTCCCACACTTTACAAATGTGGGAAGATGACATCCGTCCCATCTATGTTCTCCCCAGGAGAACTTGCTGTAGTTAAATGCACAAACATAAACGTAATTTACAGAGCTAATCAATTCTTACTGATGTGGAAACTCAATTCCGGTCTCATAATCTACCTGTGTGGTGTGGGCTTATTGTCCAAGTCATATGAGATAGATTTGTCCAATCTTTGATATATTTATTGAATATATTATTTAACAGCCAGCAGAGAGAATGACAAACCAATTCATTTGATTTGGGTCAATGGAATATGTGTACTTCTTAAAGGATCACTAAAATGCCTGATTCCACATGTCCAGGGTACCATCCACAAAGTGATTACCGGTAAGTTGTTTACATGATTGTAAGTTCCATGCTCTACATGCTTTGTGGACAGAAGCTGCAGTGTACTGTACAAGCTGAGCACAGCCGTAAATACAGCCCACTACCCACTGTCATCATGCACTATGATTCATAACACTGCTTTCTTGTCTGAGATGTCAATTAGTAAGCATATCATTGCATTGCAATGATTTTACCAAGACTGGAGAACATGTATTAATATTAAGGCGATGAAACTGAAATGGATTGATCGTTACACGGCAGCAATGATTACACTTAAATACATCTGCTGTTTACATGGCAGCAATGATTACACTTAAATACATCTGCTGTTTACATGGCAGCAGTGATTACACTTAAATACATCTGCTGTTTACATGGCAGCAGTGATTACACTTAAATACATCTGCTGTTTACATGGCAGCAGTGATTACACTTAAATACATCTGCTGTTTACATGGCAGCAATGATTACACTTAAATACATCTGCTGTTTACATGACAGACCTTGCACCTTCTGGTGGAACATATCATAGTCTCATGTCAACCATTCAGCAGATTTTGCCAGTTTCATGTTTCAAAATGAACTGATGTCGCGTGTATTTCCAAAGATCACACAGCAGTTGGGTATGTATATGAAAGTAAGGAAAGGATGGTCCTTGTCTAGTTTCCGGTATGCATATGAAAGTAAGGAAAGGATGGTCCTTGTCTAGTTTCCGGTATGTACATGAAAGTAAGGAAAGGATGGTCCTTGTCTAGTTTCCGGTATGCATATGAAAGTAAGGAAAGGATGGTCCTTGTCTAGTTTCCGGTATGTTTATGAAAGTAAGGAAAGGATGGTCCTTGTCTAGTTTCCGGTATGCATATGAAAGTAAGGAAAGGATGGTCCTTGTCTAGTTTCCGGTATGTTTATGAAAGTAAGGAAAGGATGGTCCTTGTCTAGTTTCTGGTATGTATTCATATAAAGGATATGAAAGATGTAATGAAAGTGAATGTAAGTTCTCTGAATTGCTTGTATTTGATTTATTCAAAAGGAGATTATGTTCTGACTTTTGTAAACCAATTTTTTAAGACTAGTGTTTATCATTTTCTATCCAGTTCAGTCTCTGGGTAGGTTTAAGTGTTACGGTATAATCAGTGGTGAACAATATTCAGAGAGATTTGGCATTAGTTGACCAGTATTTCACTCTTAACACATGTTGGTTTAATATTAGATATAATTGAGGTCCTTAACATCTCAGTCTAAGTAAACTTCGTTACACTGAGTCTAACAATCCCAAGTAGAAGGTCGCGTCAGCTAACCTTTTGAATTGACCAATCAGAAAACAGCTTACCAAATCGTGAAAGTTAACGTTTGCACATACTGTTTTTCGTTTGTTGAGAGATCAGCGACTGGGGAAGAGAAAATCCAAAAACACTTCACACAGAAACTTAAACTAATTCAGAAAGAATTGAAAAGATTAAACTAGTCATTGATCATTTTAAAAGGGAACCGCCAAACCCTAAATAGTAGATGTTGTCTGATTGGTTAAATCTGTTCGGCTGTCTGACGTCTGATTGGAAGGTCATAGGTCACTCAAAGTTAGCTGACGTGACCTTCTACTAGGGTTAGTAAGACTAAGTATAGCAGTGTAACAAATAATGCTGAGCCTAAGCTTACTTAGACTGTCAACATTTGACAGTTTGGTATTATTTTTCAAACGATCTGAGCAGCATAATGGGAGATTCTTCAAGCAGTTGAAAATATTTGAGATAAAATCCTAAGTTCTTACATTTTGGGGTCATCGGGTTTGTGGGTTTACAAGTTTACACCCAACAATAAAAAGCTTTGTTTTCAGTGTGTTTTAACAACTCATCTAAAAAATGACAGCACAATCTCTACTTCCCTTCTGTGATCAATGTGTTTGCTTTGTCCACAGGCTCTGTTGTGTTGCTTTCATATCAATTGGACAATAGTACTAATTTACGTTGGTCCTGTGGTCCCTGGCTAGTAAAAATTCATCAGGACCACTAAATGATAAGTTTCTACTTAAAATTGTAGTGGTCCTGGGTGCCGTTGTACAAAACAACCTTAGTGCTAAGACTACCTTAAGTCTATGTTAATGTATGGGAGTTATGGTCACCTTAGCGCTAAGATCACTTTGTACAACAGCACCCTGCTGGCCAGTGAATTTGATTGTTAAGTAAATCTACGAATGTTATTTTGGACCAGTGAAGTACAGACAGGACCACTGTTATTGTCTACTCACTGGTCCTGTGGTCTAGTGTGAAATTTTGAAAGGTTTCTTTCCCTGAGTACTACAGTTTGTGTTCTCACTTCTGAAAATCCTTTGAGACTGTACCCATTTAACAATAGTTTTACGTTGTGAGAGTATGTCTCAAAACTATAGGAGTACAATTTGTAAATGTTTTGAATTTCTTTAAATTAACAAGTGGTGCATGACGCAGATGCATTTTCATGACAACAACTGAGTTCAGGGCAATTCCTCACATTTCATGACATGCCCTTCACAACACTCTGATGAGATGTGTACATTTACTGGTTCATTGTAACTGTTGTAATGAGAATTGCATGTCATATTCAATGTAATTTATACGTAATTTATTTTGTGTAAGTGCTATATTTATTACATTGAGGATAGATCTCTATACTGGGTGTTCACCAGGAAAAATTAAAAACAATCAACTGACACTGAGTTGTATTATTTATACAATGTGAACTACAGTTCAGCAGCTATCAGCACTTATCAACAGTGAGTGAGTTTAGTTTAGTTTTACGCCGCTTTTAGCAATATTCAAGCAATATCACAGCGGGGGACACCAGAAATGGGCTTCACACATTGTACCCATGTGGGGAATCGAACCCGGTCTTCGGCTTGACGAGCGGACGCTTTAACCACTAGGCTATCCCACTGCTCCTTACAGAGATGAAAGTCAAGTGGGATGTGGAGTACATTTGGCTCATTTGTTTATGTGCAGATGAATCTGAATAAGTCTGAGGTGTTACTTTTTCCATGTTGTTTGGGTCCATGAATCGATTTACAAAAGGACCCAAGGACATCATCCACATCCACGGCCACAACCACCCATGATCCCATCCAAATTTTGATCTGCCATAGATGATTCTCAGGGAATGAGTTGAAATAAGAAATGAGATGCATAAGTCCATATCCCTGCACTACCCTCCATGCTAGGGGTAAAGAATGTCTCACAGTTCTATAATGTGCGTGACCTGGTTGATAGTCGTATCCATACACTGGGATAGTCATTCACAGCTTGTCATGATTTAGCAAAAATAGAACATACATTCAGTAAGTCCTCTTGTATAAACGTATGCTATGTAAAGCATGTCAAGGACTATATGGGTGCCTTCATGTGGCAATATTGACCTTGCTGCCACACAACATACAGAGAGCTTCAGACTTTACACAGGCCTTGATAAGGTGCCATAAGATGTCATTCACCCACTTTGACTTGACCTCATGACACTGAGACTGTGTTAGCGTCATTGTTGATTGTGTATATAGACATGTGAAGAGGCAGATCACATATAACCACCCACATCATGAATATTCAATTTCCTGGTTCCTGAAAAATAAGAACACATTTTTAGCCATAGAGATTTAACAAGAGAAGAGAAATGAATTTAAGGGGACGGCAATTTTCTGCTGATTTGAATTTCATTTCAAATTGATAAATTCTATTCCCCCTTGAACCCACCCACCGTTAACACCCCTTCAAATACGCAATATAAAGTTTTCAGCTGAAAACAGATTTTCCTGTTGCCATCCCTGAAATTAGGAGAATTTTTTATTCCAAGGCCAGCAAATCCTGGTCCAAATATGGGGCGTAACTCTACACAATGAATTCCACCATCAGGGACCAATCAGGCCAATCACATGTTGTTGCCTTGATCCAAAATTCTCAGTACACCTCCACTTGCAATATGATGTGTAAGTACACTTTCGCACCCCAAAAGTTATCTGGAGCCCTGCATAGTGATATTAATGAAATGAGTTACAGTTTGCAAATCGTTATATGCTTTGACAGTTTTCCTTGTAACCAAGGGAAATGCTGCCATCATTGTAGGAGGGAAAATTAGTCACTTGTGACATCTGTATTTTTTGCCTATCAAACAATGAGTTAATACTTTTATGTTAAAAAGTGTAACAAACATATCTGTTTATGGGCAAGTGTGAACTTCCCTTATCTCACAGGGCTAAAGGATAGCCTAGTGGTTGAGAGTGATCACCACACTTTTAATTCCACACCAGAGTACCATCCAAATCCCAAGGAGTGAATCCTATTACTCACTGATGGCATTAGACTTACTTGCAGCTGGGGCAGCCGAAGAAGACGGTCTGGCCTTCGCCGCTGATTTGAATTTCATTTCAAATTGATAAATTCTATTCCCCTTGAACCCACCCTACCACCCACCGTTAACACCCCTTCAAATACGCAATGTAAAGTTTTCAGCTGAAAACAGATTTTCCTGTTGCCATCCCTGAAATTAGGAGAATTTTTTATTCCAAGGCCAGCAAATCCTGGTCCAAATATGGGGCGTAACTCTACACAATGAATTCCACCATCAGGGACCAATCAGGCCAATCACATGTTGTTGCCTTGATCCAAAATTCTCAGTACACCTCCACTTGCAATATGATGTGTAAGTACACTCGCACCCCCAAAAGTTATCTGAAGCCCTGCATAGTGATATTAATGAAATGAGTTACAGTTTGCAAATCGTTATGTGCTTTGACAGTTTTCCTTGTAACCAAGGGAAATGCTGCCATCATTGTAGGAGGGAAAATTAGTCACTTGTGACATCTGTATTTTTTGCCTATCAAACAATGAGTTAATACTTTTTATGTTAAAAGTGTAACAAACATATCTGTTTATGGGCAAGTGTGAACTTCCCTTATCTCACAGGGCTAAAGGATAGCCTAGTGGTTGAGAGTGATCACCACACTTTTTAATTCCACACCAAGTACCATCCAAATCCCAAGGAGTGAATCCTATTTGTGTGACCCCCTCAGTTACATTACTGCAGTGTTTCTACACGCAGAGTTAAACACCACTCACTCGCTCACTCACTGATGGCATTAGACTTACTTGCAGCTGGGGCAGCCGAAGAAGACGGTCTGGCCTTCGTCGGCTGATCTGGTTTGTCTTGTTGTGAATGTCATGCCCTCATGACCACACTTTGAACATGTCCGATCCACCTGCATGACAAACAGTGACATGTATGTAGCTCTACATATAAGGCCAGACCAATTATATTTCTTGTTTTACAGATTTTTGTCCTCAGAAAACCTAAAGGCAGGAGGAAAAAAAAATAATACTAAAAGTATTTTACTTTTGGCAATTTATGAAGTGTATATGGGACAAAGGGCGTTGGGGTAGCCTAGTGGTTTAAGTGTTGGCTCGCCACGCCGAAGACCTGGGTTTGAATCCCCACATGGATACAGTGAGTGAAGCCCATTTCTGGTGTCCCCCGCCGTGATATTGCTGGAATATTGCTAAAAGCGGCGTAAAACCAAACTCAGTCAGTCAGTATATGGGACAAAAAAACAATCTAAAATACATTTTAAAAGTTTACATTTTTGGCCAATAAAACATTAGGATTAAAATTTTTGAGCGGGAAAATTAATTTTTATTTTATTTCTTAGTCTTGAAAAAACACAACCGGCGTATCCGTAAAATAAGAAATAAAATTGGTCTGGCCTAACTTTGACTGCATCATCACATAGGGTAATGAAAGTAAGCACACTGAAATCTTTAGCCATCAGACAAGGAGAGTGACTGTTTCGTTTGGACTTGTAGTCCTACCCAGCCATCTCACTGTGAGAAGATAATGCAGATACATTTTTCACAATTATAAATTGCATTAATTCGCACTAATTTCAGAAATTAATAAGTGTCGTTTAAGCAAATTTCTTCAGGATTTTCAAAGTATAATTTTGCGCTAAATAATAGGCATGTAAAACCTGTATCCCATTACACTTGTACACATGTGATCATTGTTTAATACATGTCATTGTATCCCAATTGGGTAAATCGATGCTCATACTGTTGATCACTGAATTGTCTGGTCCAGACTCGATTATTAACAGACTGCCAGCATATAGCTGGAATACTGCTGAGAGCAGCGTTAAACAACAACCAACCAATCGGAGACGATTGATACAGTATTTTACACAGGTAAAACATCACAACTGAACACCATGAACCAGAATCCTATGACCCATCCTCTGAATGATTCATTGTAACCCTTCAGTTCAGGAAAAAGCACACACAAAGGCAACAAACAGATGACAGACATTCAGCCTTGAATTCAACCATTCCATCAGAGCCCATCACCATGACTACATACCAGTGGTCCTGCTGCATCATCAGATGTCAAGGTCGACAGCGCTTTCCCCATTGGCTTGTTTACGGTCAGCGTGGAGTGGATCTCTATGCCATCGAAAGCTGCAGGACAGAAACGGCAGACAAGTCAAACAGTTTTGTCAGGTGAAGGTTGAAGGGCTGGCATTGGTGCATGTGGTCACTGGTGTGTGGGGTCCATTATGTTTTAAGATTAAGATGAAAACAATGCTGTGAGGGTTCGGGTGGTCCTGGCACAGTCAGACTGGTAATGCTCATCTTCAGCTCATTGCCCTTGCCCCTTCTACACACAGCCCAGACAGCGAATGGGACTTCTGCCAGAAATCGCGGCCTAGTTGAACCCACCAAGAACTGTCCAGAGAATATGTAGACTCCCCAACACTGCAGCCTTCTGCATTACCCAGAGCGTAAAAGGGCTGTGCTCCCGGTGGAGAACCTGGGCACTCTCCTGATCTTCGCCAAGAGATCTGGAGGTACCAAACCAAGGGCACCTAGAACAATGGGGAGTCTCACAACAGTGTACTTGGGATGCAAGCAAGACATTTGAATGGTGAGGTCCACATATTTAGCATGCTTTTCCTGAATCTTGCCAATCACTTAGCTGTCAAAAGGGACAGAAAATTCAATGATATAAATAAATTCCTTAGCTTTGTCAAAAAGGACAAGATCAGGTTTGTTGGCTGGAATTCTTCTGAGGCTGTATATGGGCCTATTCCAAAGAAGTTTAAAAGTATCATTTTCCATGACGCCCTGGACATGTTCAAGGTCGTATCATGGTTGGACCTCGGAGTCAAAGCCACAGGCATTGTGGAAACAGTAGTAAAAGCAACGAGCCATGCCATCATGTCTTTTAAGATATGCTGTTTGTGCCAAGGAAGGGCATCCACTGACTAGGTGTTGGACAGTCTCTGTGAATATTCATAGCAAAGTCGACATTTCATATTTATAATTTGTTTAAGAATCCCATATTGGCGATTGCAAGTGGGAAGTGACTGGTCCTGGGCAGCAAAAAGAAAGGCCTCAGTTTCACATTTAACACTAGCCGACTTCATCCAGGTGAAGAAGTTGGTTGGATTACTGTTCTGTTCCACACACCGCATGTATACACGCTGGGCAGACTTGGTGAATGACTTCATCTGGTTTACTCCCATCGCTGTAGCATCCAGCAGTACATCGCCATCAACAAAATCAACCTCAAATTTCAGATTCTGTCCAACAACCTTGGCACGCTTAAAATAGCTGTGGAATTCCTGGCTTTCATCATGAGTCTTGACATGCATCACCAGAGGATCATCCGATAAATAAATATGTACAAAATAAAATTCAATCATGATGAGCCTCCACATTAATCAAACCCTGACCTCCCGAATTGATTGGCATAATATAAATAAATGATAAAGAGAAGAATGAGGGTGGTGGGCTCTGTTAGGCCTTAAAAAAAAAAGCTTGTGGTTCCGATTTCCCGACCGACCCTAAATATTCCCGCCGAGCCTAACAATTTTACTCACCTCATAATAAATGAAATTTATTTTCTGACACATGAGTAATCTGAGTAATGTAAAAATATTTTGCAAAAAAACCCAAAAAACCTACCTACCTACCCTAGTTCTGAAATGTAGGAAATCGGAACCACAACATTTACTTTTTTTGGCCTTATCAGACATGATCCTTCTGGTCAGGCGGTCAAGACTCTGGATGTCTTGTTTAGTCCAATCAACTGCTCCAAAGGAATAGGCTGACTGACTGAGTTTGGTTTTACGCTGCTTTTAGCAATATTCCAGCAACATCACAGCGGGGGACACCAGAAATGGGCTTCACACATTGTACCCATGTGGGGATTCGAACCCAGGTCTTCGGCGTGATGAGCCAACGCTTTAACCACTAGGCTACCCCACCGCCCTCCAAAGGAATAGGAAAGGACTGGCACAGCAAAAGTATTTTTTGGCTTTGACCTTGTTTCGAGCATTTAGCTCTGAGATTAAGATTTTCTTTAAGCAAGTTTTATACTCGGCCCGAAGCTTGTCTTCAATTTGGGCATTCTGGATCTTGTCTCACACATACATTCCAAGATAGGTGTAGGCCTGATCTTCCACAAGATGCTCAATTACCCATATTATTGTTATTTTTGTTATTATTATTGTTGGTGTTTTTAACTATTTTCTGTGGTTTGCTTTTAGTTCTTATTTGTAGCAAAGCTGAAGCATTACGAACTGGCTCAGAATTATCTCAAATGCTACTAGCCAGTGCGTACTACTATGCCGTTTTGAGTACGCATCAATCAAGGCATCCATGTCAAAGCACAGAATCCAAGGTTTAGTTGTACACTTACCAGAAATTGGTATTTCGAACTTGCATCTCACGCAGGCAACATTTCGGTGTTTCTTGTTAGGGTTAGGAAGGACTGTGCCACAATCTGGACAAAACTGCAGGTCTGTCACAAAACACCTCGTCTTACGACTATCTGTCATACTGACACAGACTTGTTCTACAAACAGTAAAACATGCACAAACACTTAGTAAAACCACAGTTTGAAATCAAGAAACAAATACTCTTAAAAAAACAGGGCTCCAGATAAGTTTTCAACATCAGGAGTACTGTACTCCATATTTTTTCAATACAGGAGTACTGGAAAACCTTAAGAGTACATTTAGAGTACTGAATGGAATTTAATGGAGTATCAGTAATCTTGTGTTTCGTTTCATATATGCACCACAACATTGCTACGCTTAAGTAAAAAGGTAAAAAAACAATAAAACAATGTTTCAGAAAAATACGTTTGTAAATGATTCTAAGACCGTACACCATTGCCATGGTGCGTATCTTCTACGTTTTCTAATTTATTTACTACCGTATCGTGCATATTTTTTATCCGTACATACGCAGATACGGCCCTTATCTGGAGCCCTGTAAAAACATGTCTGGGATACAGAACATGAAAAAGGCAACACAGTATTACTCAGATCTGTCCTCATACTTAAAACAATGCCTCTCTCCATTAAAATGGAGTGAGTGAGTTTAGTTTTATGTCGCTTTCACCAATATTCCAGCAATATCATGGCAGAGGACACCAGAAATGGACTTCGCACATTTTACCCATGTGGGGAATCGAACCCAAGTCTTCGGTGTGACGAGCGAATACTGCAACCACTAGGAGAATCAGTTTCTAATTCAAAACAGTCACATTGCTCAACAGATTCCATTGCATGCTAAAATGAGCATACACACAAAGCACTTTTACATTCCTTATGCACAGTTCTATCCAACATTCAGTCCAACCTGGGAAGCCAGAACTACAACACTAACGGTTGAGGGTTGATGACTAGGGACTAATCTGCACTATTGGGTACTCCTGTTTTCTGATTTAGTAAAATGTACCTTTAATCATATCTGGCCGACCTTTAGTGATTGAGTTCGTTTTTAAGCCACTTTTAGTAGTTTTAGCCGTCGGCTCCAAATGAATTCCCGTGCTTCAAATACTCAATAACACCCGGAAATTGGCCAACACATGATGTTTATCTCTTAAATATTCCAGCAATATCAGATCACACAAACATGTAGCAAATATGTAATTTGTGAAACGTTGTTAGAAAAACGCTGGCAAAATAATGTTGTGTGACGTCAGGCACTGCGCTGTTGTCGGGTCATCAAGTGTCATCTTTGAGAGGCATTTAGAAGTTGGAGCAAAAGGAAGGATAACATTTATGGATGAAAAACTTCTTCCTTACAGTGAGAGCGACATTTCGGTGTAGGTCCAAACACTTGCTTGACAGTTTTAGAACCTACACCGAAACATCACCGTCACAGTAATAAGTTTTTCATTATTGTTATCCTTCCTGAAGTGTGCCTTACCTCTTCTCAGTGACCTGTCAACTCAGTACGAATTGTAGTTTGTACTCGCGTAAGCCCAATGCTGTTGGTAATTTCCATGACAAATTTGTTCAACATATATCCTCATTTCATGCCACGTGCCAATTTTGAGAGCATAACATAAGATATCATCACATCTACCAAGGGACATTTTGTGCAAACAATAGATCGCTTGTTTGGGCTCGAATGTTGTAATGAAAACAACGAGAACGACAAGTGTTCAAGGTGTACTGCATCTGTAACGACCAACTTCACTGGCCCTTCCGTCACGATTGACACATACAGAAAGGGATTGTTATCCAACATCTAGAAGAAATAGAATAATAAGTGGTCTCCATATGATATCTGTCAACGGATAATATTTTTGAGTTTCTGTCTGTACAGACAGAGTGAACAATTACATAAAGTCCGAATACCTCAGATCTTTCTCTCATCTGAACATGTGGTTCTCTCATATAACCTTCACCTTCAAAACAAACACAGCTTGCACCTTGAACGTCACAGGTAATTATTCCTTTTTTCGATTATACGTTGAAACATATATTTTAATATGACATAAATAAATAATCATATGCAGAAATTAAATTCAGAATGTTAGTGAATAAGCAGGCAAGTACGAAAATAAGCAATCAAAACAGCTTCACTTCTACACCGGAAGTTTAGAAATTTCATCGCCGCCGAGGAAATTTGAGCAGCTACCTGGTTTTAAGACTAGGTAATGTATGAATCTGACACTTTTCTTTGTGGTTGAAATGCTATTTTATAATTACTCAGTCACTCTGTACAGCGACAGATGTGTACCTACGCATAAAATAGCGACACCATCTTCTAGATGCGTTCTTTCCCGACCGTCGTCACTTTTCGACCCGCTGTCTACAGTCATGGGACATAAGTATTCGTCAGTCGGCAAAATTCTCATAGACTTGCATGTTATTTTAGTGTAGCTGTAATAATTTTCATGAATTCAGCTTTCGTTATTGGGTTGTCAAATTTTGCAGGTTGTTAGGAAATCATCTTGGTCACAGATGCATAATTTGCATGTAATGTTCCTTCTAGTGTTTTCCACATTTGTAGTTACACGAGTAACATATATACAACACTGTGTATTCATTCCCCATACACCGCCATGTTAAAATTGTCTTAACCATGACACGCATCAATCAAAGTGTGGTCATTCTTGGAAAATAAAACGGAAATTATGACACATGTGCAAAATATGAACAAGATCAAACGACAAATAAATTCAAGATAATTTTTCTAGCTGCACCAAATTAACATGCAAGTCTATGGAAATTATGCACAGTGACGAATACTTATGTCCAATGACTGTACATATGCCTGCTTTTCTCGAAAATGAACAGCAGGTGTGAAAGCGATACATGATCCTAGAGAACTAGAGTCAGCGAAACCATACTGTGATATAGTGATCCACAGCTGATCAAGAAAGTTCCTACTTCATTGCTACCTTGAAAGATATTTTGCCATAATGAAAAAAACAACCAAATGAATCTATGAACAAATGGCTACTGTTACTTACAGCATCAACTGTTGTACCACGACTTATCAACATGTACAATCCTGTATGATCTTTGTATAGAATGAATGTACCTACTCATGTGAATAAAAATAGCAGGGGAAAAAAACACCATTTGGATGATGTCCAGCATTCTTTAGAAAGGTAATGTAGTTAGACATCAGTGAGCAGTTAATCATTGATAAATCAACATATTTATTGGCACTTAATCCTTTGAAGGAAGGAAGGACATTGCTTTTAAACAAGCACTTTACGACAGAATGTGGGTGTATTCAGTGTTTGTTAGTAAATCTACATACATCAACATGATAAACACTACCTTTTGACCAATATAAAAGCAATATAAAAGTAATAAATCAATCAGCATGCTATCGATTATCTTTTTATTGATGTTTGTTTTTTTTTAACTCAGCTGATAATTCCTCATGCTGCATGTTCATGTACATATTACATAACCTCTAATACATTTGCCACTTCAGACCTTAATTCATAATGCTGAGTATTTACTCCAGACACAAGAAAAGCTGGGAGTACTGCGCTTTACCGGGCGCACTTTTTCAGATTATTTAGTGCTGCTGGGGCTCGAACGCGCTTTGCCGGATTACTGACTTTGTTAATTAGTGACGTAATTGGCGGACGCTCTACCTCGGGACCACGAGCACATCACAGTTAATGAGTGCTCGTTTAACTGGTCATTTCCACAGAAGTGAGGCGGAAGCGTGAGAAATGAAAACAATCCACTGCGCACACGCAATGGTTTGTTTACATTTCTAGCACTTCCGCCCCACTGTGCCAAGCCCTTTCCATTCATTTTTTTTTTGTGCCATTATTTCTTGGACTGTACTGACGAGTACCGGATGGATCGAAGTGTGTTTCAATTGGATATAATAGGATTATACTGCCCTAAGGTAAAGTCAAACCCTACATAAGAATCGGAAAGGGTCCCTAACCCTACCCCTCTCCCAACCCTAACCCTAAGGATTGGAAAGGGTATCATACCCTAACCCTAAACCCTAACCTTAAGGATCGGAAAGGTGCTAACCCTAAACCTAAGGATCGTAAAGGTCCCCTAACCCTAAGGATTGTAAAGGGTGCCTAACCCTAAGGATCGTAAAGGGTGCCTAACCCTAAACCCTAGCCCTAAGGTTCGTAAAGGGTGCCATACCCTAACCCTAAGGATTATAAAGGGTTGTTTGACTCTAAAGATGCAAGAGAAGGGAGACGGAGCAATTACCGCGATATGGCGAGACAGCGCTGGAGACAGTGCAGTAGCGTTATAGTGCGATAATTGCCCCGCAGTGAGCAGCGAGGGCTGGGCCCGGTAAAGTGTATTCTAGCCGAAATGCTAAATCAGTAAATGGGAACCTTTGTTGGGTAATCTGAGTGGTGTTACCACTAATTATACCTGTTATAAATTCATTAACTAACCACACATGGGTTACAGCAAGGGAGTAGTAATTGCTGTGTTGCATGCAAGTGTAATTGCCTAAACAAATAGGGGACAACACTGTTTTGAGGATATGAACTTCATTTTTGCATAAGAAATACATACAAATATTTGCTAAGTACTAAAGTTTAAAACTGTATATACCCATTTTCTAGTCTAGACTCGATTATGTACAGACCACCACCATATAACTGGAATATTGCCGAGTGCAGGCATCGTTAAACAACAAACAAGCACATTTATCTAAAAATCCTCCAATTGGATTTCCCAATTCATCCTGTTATGTTAATGACGCCTCCGTGGTGTAGTGTTTAGAGCGTCCGCCCGGAGAGCAGAAGTTCACGGGTTTGATCCCTGGTTTGGTCATACCAAAAGACGTTAAAATGTGGTACTTGTTGATCCCTGCCTGGTGCTTGGCATTAATGGGTACAACAAGGACTGGTCGGCTCAGAGTCAGTATACCGGAGTGGGTTTATTCATGCTTAACTACCTGTGAATGTCCGGGTTAGAATATTGATCTTCAGTAACCCTTGCCGTAAGAGGCGACTAACAGGATCGGGTGGTCAGACTCGCTGACTTGGTTGACACATGTCATCGGTTCCCAACTGCGCAGATCAATGCTCATGTTGTTGATCACTGGATTGTCTGGTCCAGACTTGATTATTTACAGACCGCCACCATATAGCCGGAATGGTGCTGAGTGCGGCGTAAAACTAGACTCACTCTCTCACTCATTCATGCTTAACTGCGGCATGGTATCTCAGAGCCGCACATACACAAACACACGCATGCACGTCATCATATGAGCGAAATATTCTCAAATACGACATTAAACCCCATGTCACCTCGCCTGTTATGTTAATACTGAGGTTATCACCATAACTAACGAGGATGCTTTAGGGATGTTGTTGCATGGTATCAATCATCATGATTCAATGTGCCTCCGAAGGAAAATAGGAACTTAAATTTGAACAAAGTAACAAATCTGTCTGTCAAGGCTACTTGGTTTGAAATCCTAGAAAAATCCCTGACAAGATTGATTGAAAATACTCAACATTAGAACCCTTTTCTGTTACAGCACCCTGAAGACTTCTATGTGCCAGAACAAGCGACTGTGACGTCATCCTATTGTGTTCATGCCAAGAACGCTCCGTGTGGACCACTAGTGCAACTATTCTATGAGCCAGTTTGGTGCAGCTACTTGTGTCGCTGGGGATGTCTATGACGTTCACCCAGCAGTTCGTCAGAGGACATTTCCACTCTTGTCTCAGACCCCGACTGTGGCCATTTGACAAAGGAGGCAGTCTCACCACATCAGCGCCATGTTCTTTACACTCAGGGAACTGGTGCGGTGGCTTCGGATGACTGGCTTTGAGATATGGATGCACATCGTATCAGTGTTAATATTTTCAGTGCTGGGCATCCTCAAGTATGAAAACATCATTGACCAATCCTGGTGGATTATTTTCATTCCCCTTTTCACCTGTGATGGCCTGTGTGCCTACTTCTGTATCATCGTGTTCATACGCCAGTATCAGGAACTTGACCTTCGAGTGGCGGGCATCAGGTTTTTGACTTCTATCCTGAGTACAATGTTGTTCTTTGTGTTTAAGTTCCTGATGTGTGAAAAGTTCAGTGAGAAACGGATGTTATCTTCGTCAGAAGTGATTGCACCATTATTTATTCTGTTACAGATTATCATGATCAGAGCCTGTAGACTTCATTGATTGAGGTGCATATATGTAAATACTGTGTTGCCGTGGTTACCATGGTTGTTACCTGTGATTATGTAAAGGAATTGTTATGCTTCACGTTGTAGCAACATCACTTGATTATCATGTGTTCCAGTTGTTCAGGTGTTCATTGTTTGTGAGGGGGCAGAACCCAGTTGCTCCAGTTACTTGCCCTATGATGCTGTACATGAATGTGTGTATCACCTTTGCACAACCATATTGCCAGGTGTTTCTTCGCAAGTTTTAAACTCTTTTTGAAGCAGGTGACATGGGTGGCCAAGATGTCACATCATTTTATTTTGCTGAGTCACATCCCTTTGTGAATTACCTCCATCACATTGGACATTCCTGGCACATCAAGCTGCAAACTTTGTGGTATAACTGAAGGACTGTTCAAAATAGTGACAGACCTCCCTCTCTCCCTCATTCACTCACTCACTCTCACCAACCCTCTTTCTCACCAACCCTCTCACTGGCTCACTCTCACCAACCCGCTCACCTACTCTCACCAACCCTCTCAGTCACTCACTCAAAGGGGTCTGGGGTTTGGTGCTGTATGATCTGGGCAGTTCAAAATAGTGACAAACCTCCTTCCCTCATTCATT